GTGGTCCGGAGGTTGTAGACAAACTCGATATGTTGATTGAGCAATACAGGTCTAAGTTCTCGCAGAGCTCAGCCAAAGCAGGTGCACAAAAACAGAGTTCCGGACAAGTCAGGAAATGGTTCCAGTCCTAAGACTTGAAAGTTCGAATCACCAAATGTCATTTTCATTGATCCGGAGAATGTTGCAAAATAACATTAATTTTCATGTAATGTCCTTAATTCTGTCTGGAAAAAAATCTCTCCACAATTATATTGGTTTCTGCAAGCAAGTAATTTTTGTTTTGTATTTGGGTGCCTAACTGTGATTTGAACTTTGTACCGGATCGAGAAGTAGTGAACCGATTCTACGAAAAGTAGCTTCTTCCTAATGAACAGGGCCTCTGACTACACGTTCAAAACTGGAGGGCTTATGCGGGAGGAAGACTATCCATACACCGGAAACGATGGAGGGACATGCAAGTTAGACAAGTCTAAGATCGTTTCGTTGCGCTGTGTCAAACTTCAGTGTTTTCGAATTGTTCTTGCAGTGGCGATCAACGCAGAATACATGCAAACCTGTCTTGTTTGCCCTTACATATGTTCGAGACGGCTCAACCACGGTGTGTTGTTGGCTCGGCTCGGCTGGGTTTGCTCAGGCAGGCAAGGTTTAAAGAAAAACCGTATTGGGTCATTAAAAAACTCATGGGGTGAGAATGGTTTCTATAAGATATATATGTAAAGGCCGTAACATTTGCGGTGTTGACAGTTTGGTTTCCACCGTAGCTGCCTCCGTCTAGAGGTTTTCATTATTCAGACAATCTTAGCTCCTCTCTTGTCTGTTAAAGGTTAAAAAACCTGTAAATAAAATTCAATGAAACGCATTTCTTGCTTGGTACATCTTTACCAATTTGGTAGTTCAACTATTAGCTCAGTTTCGTATATATTGATTGATGATATAAAGAGAGACCACAACTCACCACCACCTTATTTTCTTCACAAACAAACAAATGGGCTTTAATTTACCATAAATAATCCCATTCTTCCCCCTTTTTTTTTTTGTTTTCACCATTTCTTTTTCCCTCTGCAAAGGTAAATAAATTCAACATAGCCTCTAATAACGGAAAAAGAGGGAGAGAGATAAGATCCAGATTTAACGAAGGAACTGACTCCTTCCCACACCCTTATATGCACATGCAGAAGAGGACATTTTCGGTAATTCATGGCTCAACATGGTCAGAACATCGTAATCACTCCTCTTCATTTCCGACGAGAGTGAAAGTGAAAGGATCAAACTTGTAACCATCGCCTTCGTAGAACTTGTTCTGGTACTCCACCCAGTGAAGACGCAGAGCGTGAAGGAACGCGCTCAATGTCTCCATCACAAGAAGGACTCCCACAGTTGCAAAGATGAAGACAAGGATCCCAACGATCAGGATGAAAATATTGTTGAAACTGTTACCGTAAAAAGCATAGAAGAGAGATATTGTTTATTAACACGTTCTACAAAGTAACAATTGCGAAATGCAGAGAAAGAGAGAGAGAAAGGAAGTGATTGCATTTTACTTACCCCCAAGCCATAAGGAGGACCTTCTCGTAGAAGACTGACGACAACTCCGAGTGAGCAAGACTAGATACGAAGCCCAACAAAGCGTAAATTAGCCAGGACGACAAAATGAAATACAAAATAACAATTTATAACACTCCAACAAGCAGATAATCAAAACTTGCTATGTTTTGTGTCGGATAATAACATGATGAATCTATGTTACTTTGAGAGTTGTAGTTTGTACCTGAGGGCCCAGAGACGAAGATAAGAAGCAGTGTTGGAAACAGCTCCAAGCACAAATTCAATGGTGTGAATGAGTTGGTGCACAAATATTTCACTGAATTCAAACTCTTCGTGTCCATGTTCTCCCCCATTTGTTTCTACTTGAAGACTCTCATCTGTCTCGTCAAGCTGTGCGTATGACTGACCTTGATGTCTCTGGAGAAAGCAAAAATCAAGTTTCAGTTGTCGTCACCACAAATTTAAATTTGAAGTTAAATAACTAGATGAGGAAGACTCACAGCTTCATGTTGTTTCTTCAAGATGAAGGGCTTTGGCAACAACATCCACGGAACAGCAACCAGAGCCAGAAAGAGGAACGTGAGCTGAAATGGGAAATGAATGAGATGAGAGTGAAGCGTATGATTTTTGATACAGCGAAGGATTGTTACCTGTACTATTTTCTGGTTAGGGAAAAGCTGATTCTCTCCTAAATCATCCATAGGGCTCAGGAACATGTAGATCATTACGTGATATAAATCCGCTTGAGAACCAGTGCACCACTTTATGATGATGAGGACCGAGAGATAGCCAAACAAGCAGTTCAAGAATATCATCTGGGGAACGAACTGGAACCTGGAGCCATATGAGATCATACACTTAACTATGATTAAGCCCTAATTATTTGTTGGGAGAGGATGAAAGAACTGGAAGGTGTACGTATCAGTCGGGGAAAGTAAATTGAATAAACTCACCATACGTTTACTGCACTTTTGAAGAATTTTGCATTAAAGAAGCTCATTATGATTCCAAGGTTCATTTGGGCAACTCCAAGAAGGATTGACATTTTCATCTTAAGCGAGTTCAGGAATGGTAGCTCACTGCGGGTACCATGCCATACAGGATCCACGCCAAATGGATATGTGTCTCGGGTTTTGATCAGACCAATTGTAGTAGCCTCACTGAACAAGAGAGCAGAAGACAAAAACTCAGAATCGTAAAGATATTCCTCTTATGCATTTCTTTTCCAGGGATTTGAGTACCAAGCAACATACCTGCAAGAGGTATCACGGCATTCGTATGCTGAGCTAGCAAACAATGGATATGGTATAGAGAAGAACTCATTATAGATTAAACCAGTGTATATTGAGAAGAGTGACATCATCAAAATAACGTAACGGCCACCAAAAGCCATTTCCATAATGTCCCCTAGTTTCTGTTGACATGAAGCAAGAATTCAGGGGTTAGCATCTGGAACTTGCAAGAAAGAAAAACATTGACGACTAAGCAAAGCATCAACTAAAGAAATTACATATTATAGTCTATTATGCTCTTTGAAATGCTCAAGTGAAATTGTCTAATTTGACATTTGCACGCAACTCTTAAAACATCAACATACAGTACAACAAAACAATCTGCGAGTTTGGCCAATCTGATACTGTGCTCAGTCGGAACATAGATGCTGTCAGTTTAGGATATTACCTGGCTTGAAAGTTTCTTTTCTCTCAATATTAAATACATAGTTGCAAGCAGCAGACAGATTCCATGGCCCCAGTCACCAAACATAACAGCAAACAGGAAGGGGAAGGTAACAATTGTGAATACACTTGGATTGGCTTCCTGGTATTTGGCCACACTGCAATGTAGTGATCAAAGAAGATTAATGAAATTCAATAGACAAACACTAAGCACAAATGGACATTGCATGAGAAAAATAAACAAGATTCTACCAGCTGAATTGATAAAGGAAACACACAGCTTATATAAAAATGCCTGGGGTATTCCAGATTAAGGAGACAGAAGCTAATACAATGTTAGAAACCATTGAAACCAAAACAGCACTTTATATATTCTAACAAGAGTGTGTAAGAGGCAAAAGATTAGATTATATGACTATCCGCTAATCCTAAAAAACTGTAACTTATCATCAATCCCATTTCCTATTTCTTCTTCCCAAAGAGTAGATGAATCTCCAGAAAATAGATGCTTACCCGTACGCATCAACAATTTCCTGGAACGCAGTAGTAAATTTGTTTGTGCGGAAAAAGGTGGGAGGCATTTCTTTGGTCCTCAAGACCTGGAAAATTGATCCAACTTGAGAATTGGAGTCAACCGCAGCACGCTGCAACGCATCTTGAATCTGCACATGCAAAACTTTAATCTCACTATTGCACTAGTGTATATGCAATAATTTCAATCATATGCAGCTAGAGTTACTCACTTCTGTTGTTGCAAAGACAGGACTCCAGCCTTCACCCACAAGGCACTTCTTAGTCACATCAAGACTAAGCATGTTCAAAGTGTGATATATGGCTTTTTCTTTGCGAACCTGCATGGGTATATATTAATGATGATAATTGATCTCACCTAACACGGATATGAAGTGACCACTCCACTACTGAAAAGAAAGCTCCAAATAGAATAAGACCTTGAGGTTCCATAGCTCAAACTTATCTCCAATGGTCTCCAAAAGAACGTTGCGGTGATCCAACCCAGCACTGATGGTAGTTTTAAGCTCTGATAACCGACCAGTAACCTGAAGATATATCATTAGTGAGCGTGACAGGCAGATAAATCACTGGCCTAAGATTCAGTCTCCAATGGATGCTAACCGTGTGGCACAAACATATCCAACCCAAAGAACACTTCAAACTAATAGGGACCTATTAACACTTCAAACGAGAAAGGTATGAGGAATTGCTGTAACATGCATTTCTCCTCAACAAAAAACTCTCTGAGACCTATTAATCGCAACTCCCAAGATCTATAGCAATTGTTCAATTTAGAAATGCTGACCTTCCCATCACAGGCTAATTATTGCTTGGATCAAAGTTTATAATGAATCTAAACTAACGTCAGTAAATGCAACCCCCAATAAGCTTTATGCAGAGAGGTATCCAAAAATGAATCGTTTATTGTTGGTTATTATTCAAAATAACTGACTACATCTCCATATGGTTATCAGCTGTAACTAAAGCCCAGAGATAAAGTTACAAGTTGTACAGATTAAAAAAAAAAATACATAAACACATGACTATGAGACACAAGAAGAAACATCGAATCATACGCATATGGAAAGATAATACATACCTCAGTCATCATTTGAGCTTGTCTGCCAAGTTCTTCGCTGAAAGGATAGCGATTGGCCCCAAAAGCTTCACATATCTTCAAAATTTTGCTTTTTGCTCTTTCCCCAGAATAGAAGACAACAAATACATTTTTCTCAGCCTGTAACATTATTGTGGACTAAATGTCAATTCCTAGCAGACGCAAACAGAATACGTATATTTTTCTTGACAAAATCAGCATTCCATGTAGAAAAATTCTTGGCAAGGTAGATCGGCAAAACAGAAAAAACCATAGAGGTAGTTCCAACATCAAATATTAGCATGTGCATATGAGAACGTAGAAATTACATATAGAATTAATAACTTTAACAAGCATACGCCTGTGAGGAAATAGAATTTTAAAATTTAATTTGCTCGTGGATTCGCTGCACTTTCTATGACTAGGAGAATCTACGAGCAGAACATAAGGGGCTAACCTTCTCCCCAGAGTTGGGATCAACAACGGACTCCTCTATGACAGACTGTCGAATGAAGATGTTGCCCCTAGTTGCACGAAATAGGATCCTCTCGAACACCATAGACTTTTCACGAGGCACTAGTCCAGTGAGGAATCCAAGCTTTACTTGCTTTGTTGGATCAATAGACTTCTCCTGTTAAAAAGGAAAATTTTGTAAGGATATTTTCAGAAAATACAACTTGAAGAAGTAAAACAGTGGCAGCTTTCGTACTTCCTGCAACAAAGGAGACTCCAGGTGGTCTTCACCCACTTCTTGTGATTCTATCTCACTCTGTTGAGCGGTAGCACCTCTATGGGCAGAAGCAAAAAACTCACCAGCCTAAAAATAAAACAAAACATTTACATGAATATAGCACGAGATACCCATCCAGCACTTTAACAATTAACAGTTGAAATATGCATTTTGCACTATGGAAAGCTCTTAACACTCATTAAAATTATGTTGACAAAAGGTTATCTCTAGTGCGGTAGCCTTAGTATCAGGTAAATAAATTGACAGAAGCAGAGAGCTGTCAAATTAGTTACAATACAAATCAGGAAAAGCTAGGACGCTATGTGTAATAAGGAGACGTAGCATCTACGAACACTGTGATTTTAAGTAAAAGGAAAACATATTTACCTTCTCAAGAACGAGTTTGTACTCGACAAGTTCATTATAAGACCGCTGCAACTTGTCATTATTAGCATTGATTTCGACAAGTTCAGCTTCTAGCTCTTCAAGCTTTACCTGAAAAGGAGAAAGAAGAAAAAAAGTATAAGCATGATGAAATCGGAAGCATGGTGTCCCAAAATCAAAAACAGACATCTCCATTCACCTCTACATCATCCAAATCAATATCATTTTCTTTGTCTAGGATCTCTTTAGGAGAAACTCCTGCCTTTGACATATGGTCTTTGAAGAAACGTATCTTTCGCGCCATCTCTCCACATCTTTTTATCTTCATCCATGAACAATGAGATCCACCATTGTAAGATATACTTTCTTTACGCTAGTACAGACAAGAGGTGAATCAAAATCAATTGGCCTTACCTGAGCAGCATAAGTCCGTTGAAATGGGCTCTTGTCAGAATTAAGCTGGATTCAACATCAAAATAGCCATATAAGAAGAGGATTCCACAAAAATCCACTTCAAATCGCAATGGAAGGTCAAAGCTCAAATTCAACAGAAACCGAGTACAGTGGACACCGGAAACTTATCAATCAATCAGATAAGTAGTAAACGGACATGGAGAGATGATCATAGAGACAGAGAGAGTGTACGTACGTCTTTGAACTGGACGAGTCCGAGATCACCAAGATAAGAGACGGTAAGGTGAGCAGATTCCATGGGAACAATGACCTGAACGAGTTGCATCGGTTCCGACCGCATCAGATCCATCGGCGGACAGCAACCACCACCGTAACTCGCCGCCATGTCTTCGGAAGATCTCGGATGATTTTGCAATCCTCTTTCTTCTCAGTGTGGATCAATGACGTTCCTGCTAAAGGACCACGATTCGAGAGGTAATTTTGTTGTCGTCTCGTGTAGTTAGTACTGCCACGTATATTTTATGTCTTTTTAGAGATGAGATCTTTTATTTAACACACCACCGTTTACGGGCTGTACGACATTACCATTTTGTCCTTAAAATTAAGATTTAAGCATGGCCCATATTGAA